CGTTCAATTCTTCATTTGTTTTATTGATTTATTCACTTTAATCAACTTATTGATAATATCAGTTCTCTCTAGTTCTCTGACTATCTATCTATCTTGACTATTCAATTTCTCTCCTCCACACTTTCTCTCTTTCCCCTTCTCTCTCCCTAACTCCCCCTCTAAATGTCTCTAATTGCCTCACTGACTCCGCACCTCCTGTCCTCTCATAGGCTCCTGCACTTGAACTTCAGCTATGAGTGACAGGAGTGACATGGGCATTCCATCACATACCTCCCCCCTAGGAAAAGTTTGTTTCATGGGGAAAACCTTATAGTTTACCCTCATGAACAACGCAGGGAGCAATAAACAATTTATTTCAAATATGTTCCCAATACTATTACCAGTAACTCTTTTACTCTCTCTCTCTCTATAGATTGATTGATTGATTGATTGATTCCTTTATACAGTATCTATGCATACTTATTATTGATTACTACTATTTAGCGCAAATTAAACTTATTCCTTTAAACATTTAAATTATATTTATCAAAATTTGCATTACTTACAATTACATTAATACAAATCCTGTTCCTGTTACATTTATCACTATTTATTTATTTATTTATTTATTTATTTATTGGACTTATATACCGCCCCATAGCGGTATATTCACTATGAGATTACATTTTATTTTTAATTACATCTCATGCTTATGTATAAACTGAACAGTTTCTATACCATTACATTTTACAATTTTTTTTTCTCCTTCATCCATCAGTCCTCTGGTCTCCGAGATAATGTGTCGACCACCACGTTCTGTGTTCCCTTCATGCTCCGAATCTCAAAAAATCAAAGACCTGCAGAAGTAGGACCCATCTCATCAGCTTGTTGCTATTTGCCCTTATAGTTCTCAGCCACAGAAGTGGGGAGTAATCAGTGCAAAGTACAAAATGTCTTCCCCATATGTATGGCCTGAGTTTCTGCAATGACCATACAATGGCTAGACACTCCCGTTCAGTCGTGGACAAATGCCTCTCGCCCACCTGCAGTTTCTTACTGAGACAGGTTACAGGATGATGGTTTCCATCGTCGTCTGCCTGACTCAGCACAGCTCCCAGCCCAATGGCAGATGCATCCTTGAAGACTGTGAACTCTCTCTGGAAGTCTGGAGCTCTCAGAGTCTTCAACTTACTAAAGGCGTCCTCGCAGTCAACCGTCCATTGGATCTTCTCAGCCTTTCTTTTGTGTGTTAAATCAGATAAAGGAGCGGCTATCGCACTAAAATTGGGTACAAAGCGATGATAATAGCTGACTAACCCTAAGAAAGATCTTATTTTTTTCTTGAATGTCGGTCTGGGCCAATTGCTGATAACTTCTATTTTAGATTCCAGGGGTTTGATTATGCTTCCCCCTACTACATGACCTAAGTATTTTAATTCAGAGCTACCCAGTTGGCATTTACTAGCTTTTACTGTTAACCCAGTCTCATGTAGTCTCTGTAGCACTTTTTCAAAATGGATTGTGTGCTCTTCCCATGTCTAACTATATCATTGATGTATACTATATCGTCGATGTATGCTACAGTGAATTATCTAAGCCCTTGTAAGGTTTGGTCCATGAGACTTTGAAAAGTTGCTGGAGCATTTCACAGTCTGAAACTTAAGACCCAGAACTCAAACAAACCAAAGGGGCTACAAAAAGCGATCTTTTCCTGATCTTTGGGGTCTAGACCGACTTGTCAAAACCCCTTAGTCAGGTCAAAACTTGATATGAATTGACATCCCCCTATAGTCTCTGCCAAGTCATCTAACCGAGGCATTGGGTAAGCATCTGACTTAGTGACATGGTTCAGTTTTCGATAGTCCATGCAAAAGTGGATACTTCCATCTGGCTTATCAACTAGAACTATTGGGGCTGCCCAAGGACTAGAAGAAGGGACAATGATTTTTTTTCAGTATTTCATCTAGCTCCTTGTTAACCTTTGCTACATATGGCCCCGTTACTCTATACAGTGTGACAGCCTGAGGAGGTGCATCTCCTGTATCTATTTTATGCACTACCCCCTTTGCTACACCAGGCTTATTTGAGAAGACTTGCTGGTATTTCTGCAGCAAGGCTCTTGTTTCATCTTGTCGCCCTGGGGTTAGAGTAGGGCTCATCTTAACATCTTCAGGGTTATACTGGGGTTCACCCCTTCCTTCCCAATATAGTAGTTCATGTTTTTTGTTGGGCACTTCTTTAATGGCATATAAGACAAAATTTTCTTTCCTATAATAAGGTTTAATCATATTTACATGCATCACTCTTCTACCTTCTTCTCCCTCCTCCTTAATTACATAATTCACTTCACTCATTTTAGAGACTACTCTAAATGGACGTGCCCAATTTAACTGGAGTTTATTCCTTTTGATAGGTTTCAACATTAGCACTTTGTCTCCAGGATTGAATGTTCTTTCCCTGGCCCTCTTATCGTACCAGTGCTTTTGCTTTCCTTGATGACTATTTAAGTTTTCTGCTGCTAACTCAAGAGACTGCTGCAAGGAGTTCATCAGTGTATCTATATATTGGACCACTGACTCAGGATCCTCTCCTCTATGTTCCTCCCAGTTTTGCCGGAGTAGATCTAGGGGTCCCCGAGCTTTCCTTCCAAATAATAGTTCGAAAGGACTAAATCCTGTACTTTCCTGGGGTACAGATCTATCAGCAGACAGTAAGGGTTGCAATTTATGATCCTAGTCATTTGGATTTTCAGTGATGTAAGCTTGAATCATACACATTAGGGTCCCATTAAATTTATCAACCAATCCATTTGTCTGGGGATGATAAGGGGATGATGTGATGTGAGTGATTCCACAGACTTGCCACAACCTTTTCATTAATTTGTACGTAAATGAGGTTTCCAAATCAGTAACTATCTTGGAAGCAAAGCCCATGCAACACATATAATTTAATAATGCATCTGCCACTGTCTCTGTTTCAATATTTCGCAAAGGAACAGCTTCCGGGTATCTGGTGGCATAATCAGTTATGGACAAAATGAATCTATTTCCCCGCCTGGTAACTTTAGGTAAGGGTCCCACTATGTCTAGGCCTATTCGTTGAAATGGGGTTGAGATGATTGGTAAAGGGTACAACTTAGCTTTGGTTTTATCATTCCCAGTACCCTGCTTTTGACATGTGTCACAACTTTGACAATATAACTTAACCTACTTCCCTATCCCAGGCCAGTAAAAGTTTTGAACAATTCTTTGCTTTGTACATGTGATCCCTAAATGAGCAGCAAATGTATCTTTATGTCCTTTTTCTAAAATTCCTTCTCTGTATTTGAAGGGGACTATCAGTTGTCTGAGAATGCTCACCCCTCCCCTCATAGGATTCACAAGAATTTCTCTGTACAATAGGTCTTCCTTCACACTGTATCTTTCAGGGTTTTCAGGGGTCAGGGGCCCTTCCTTGTCTATAGCACTCAATTAAGGTAGGGTCATCTTTTTGTTCTCTTATGAAAGTCAGATTTCTAGGATTCCCCATATTGACTAGATTAGCTGTTTCATTCCCTTCTATTATTTCAAAATTCCCAATGTTTTCCTCTGTGTCTGCACTTGGCTTTCCCTGTGAGCAAGTTGTTACTAAAACACTCTGTACATGCTCTGATAAATCTAGGCCTATTAAACATGGGACAGGAATTTGCTCTGATATGGCCACTGTCCACTCTCCTGTCCACTCTTTATATTTTATGGGAATTTTTGCCAATGCCAGCTTCACTATTTCAACTCCAATCCCTTTACTAGAAACTGTTTCATTTTCCAGCATATGTTTCTTAGGGATTATCTCTGGATGACACACTGTAATGTGTGTGTGTCTGTGTCTGTGTCTGTGTCGTCTGTGTGTCTGTGTGTGTATGTATGTAAGTAAAAAAAAACCCGTCTTGCGAAGCACGGCCATAGAAGAAACTGTCTTGCGAGGCACCATAGCAATCACAAAAATGATTGGTCTTTTGGGTTTTTTGTCCCACAAGGTGTTCATCTTGTGAGGCACCACTGTACTAGGTTTCAATAAGCTCAGTGGATAGAAGATTGTCTGGGCTAGAATAGATCTAGATAAGGAGATAGTAAGAGCTGAGGGAGGGGCTGGTAGTACAAATGAAATTGAATCCTTTTGACAGAATACTCTAGAAATCTTAAGATATTATTAAGAGAATAATAAGACAAGTATAGATTTGTCATATTATTCTCTCCCTTAAAAAGAAAACCTACAATAGCAATGGCAGCAGGCTATAAAAGAAACCCATTTGGGAATATTTTAATGAAGTTCTTCTACTTGTGGATGAAGCAGACATATATGCAAAATGCAAAAAGTGCAAGCGAAACAATCATTTCTGATATAACTGTAGAACTAACTTGAAAATTTATTGTTCTAAAAATGAAACTTTCATCTGGTTTGTAAATACTAAAATTATAATAACCAGCTAGAATGAGCCTTTATGTAGAAAAACATGTTTTAAAACAGAATGTAAAACATTTAAATCAAATCCACTTTAGGGTTCTTAACTTTCTGTAAATTATCAGGATTCTTGATTAGGGCCACCTGCATCCTGCACATCATTTAAAAAGAAGAAATGTAATGTTTACCTTTGTAGAAATCTCAATACACCTATTTACCTGAACTTTACTTAGCAAGCTATGGTCAGGAGAGCCAACAATACCGACATACTTAATCTAATTTCCCCTATTGCCTTTTGGACTGGTTTTCACATCACTGAATTGCAGTCTGAACTGATTCTGATAGTTCAGACCTCCAGTTAACACATAGATTCGTTGTGGGAGGAAGTGGTCCACTAGGGGTCTAGGTCCGAAGCTGATTATGGCTTTAAAAGTTAAAACCAGTGTTATGAAAAATGCAGAAGCCAGAGTACCTGTTCTAAAGCTGTCAATATGTACTTCTTATACTCAAGGAGTTAGGTGATATTTGTCTAATAAAGTCTGCCCATGGACACAACTAAATCTGATTTCTCTTTTTTCCAGGATGATGAAGGCCAAACAGCACTTCATTATGGTAAGCAATGCATGAGCATATTTTGCCTGTTAATAATCTTCGTCATGCAGACTGAAAAAAATAGTATGCTAGATAACCACATGTGTGGCAGAAGCAAATATCTGATTACGGATGGCTAATAAATTTCTTAATAATAATCAGTAAGATTGATACTCTGTCTTTGTAATCTACATCATGTTTTCTGTTACATGTTAACCTGGATGTGACTAGGTTCAGTAGCACTGATCAAACACTACTTTAAGCATTACAGTAGTTTGTTAATTCAGTTCATCATTGTGCTTTGCACAGAAATGCTTTCTTATTTATTTGTTAGACTCATAAAACATTCTTTAATTATAATTGACACCTGCCTATAGACACAAACCTCCTTTCTATAGACATTTATTCTGTTTGACACAACTGTACAACAAAGCAAAGAGTTAACAAAGTTGCTTTGAATAAAGCTAGAGAAGTGTAATCTGAGTTTATCTATCTTTTTATGAGGGTGTCTGGCCTGACAGCTGTCCTTGCAGTAGCACCTCTTGTGATTACAGAAAGTGTCAAACTGCATTCTTAGATAGATTATAAATCCTGGTTCATTCTGATTAAACATGGGTCAGAGTCATTCTGAGGTTAAGTGAAGGACAACTCCCCAGTATGTTACCCTCCAATGGCCTGCCAGAAGCACTCTGCCCCCTTCAATATAATATCTCCTGGTTAGTCATGCCATTGTCATTGTGCGGTCGGCACTGGTTCTGTGTCTTTGAAAAGATCAGAATGTGTGTGGTCTCCCTCATGAACAGCCTGCTAAGCTTTATATTTCCTTGTTGAGACTCCCCACCTCCACCCTCACCCCACACACTTGTTCCCCTTAGGGAACGCTCCATTGATTGCCTCGCTTGTCTCCCAGAGGAAATCAAGAGTTCTCCTTGGACTTGGAAGTCACATGACTACAGAGTGAGCTAGCCCAGTCTATTCTCCTGGGCTTGTTCTTCCTTGTTGAAGCACCATCTGCTGTGCTTTTTTTCCACTACAGCAGGGCAGTGGGAGGGAATGGCACGAGAAAATAAATAATAAAGGGAGAAATCCATCACAACACCCCTGAGAATTAATGGACTTGGAAGGCAAACTGTGCTGAATGAAAAGTCATCTTCACCTGTGCCCATGTCGGAACTGGCTCACTGGGCTTGACAAATAGAGGTTCCCAGAGCATGTTGTAAATCCAACAGCTGTTCTAATCTCCAGGGAGGACTATGCAGTCTTTAGAAACAGACCAGAGTCCTCTTGGGTTTCCCAGTGCAGTGGCAACACATTGTCTCATTTATGGTTTCCTCCAAAGAAATGCCAAATATCTTGTCACATGACACCTCCTCAGTGTCAGGCTCTTCATTTGTAAAGGACTCATAAGGATCATTAGTGTAAATAGAAACAGACTGCTTTCGAGTGAAGCAGCATCTGGGCTCACTTTGTTTATTATGGAGGGTTGTGATAAAAGATAATAGAATCCATCTACAAGATGATCACTCTGTCATTTCCCTAGCATTTATGAATTTTTGGGCTGTCAACTAATTAAAATTGTGATAATAAAATAGTTTTTAAAATACTAAAATAAAGCTTTTCAAACCAGAGAAGGAAGATGCCTTAACATTTTGTTTACTTGAGGTACTGTTCATTATTAGGGCAACAGGCTCTTTGGGGGGGTTGGTTCTCCCCCCCAATTTCTGAAGTTCTTTGGTACACTTTTGTAGCTGATATAGATTTGCAATAAGATCTATAGTGCCTCTTCCTTTTTAGAATCCAACTTGTACATTGGGCATTTCTCACTCCATATAAAGTACAGTAATAGTATTTGTTGCAACACCTTGAGCATTCCTTTGCTTGTATAGGAAATTAATGCAGTGGTTGTGAATGTACTCTTTGTCATCTTCTTTTCTGGTGATTGGAATGTATATTGAATGTTTCCAGTCTCTGGGCCATCTTATTTTACATAGTTTTTGCTTCTGGCCACTCTATCCTGGTTCCTTTCTTGGCCCTCTTGGATTCTTTACCTCTTAGCCTCAAAAATAGGCCCAGTTCCTCACCTTCCAGCTTATATACCAGAAGAGAAGCTATGATTTGCCTTTCTTCCTTGACCTCCCACTTTCCATCTGCAGCATATAGTGCTGCAATTAGCCGTCTTGAGACTTCCCTAGCTTTCTCACAAGATTCCTTGTTGATGGGTTGCATTCCTGCTATAGTTCATCTTGTCACTCATTCGTTGTCTAAAGAAATTCCAGGTCCCTTAACAAAGTCCACCTGTGAATTGTCGTCCCCATTGTGATTGTTCTGGTTTTTGTTTTGTTTTTTGTTTTGGTTTTTTTTTTATACAAGAGAGAGGGCAGGTCAGAGGCAGTGTCTGGGGAAACCACCCATTGGTGATAAGGTCCAGTTCTGAACACCAGACTAAGAGAAACTGTAGCCTGCAAGATGCTAGTGAACTGTGTTTGATACCTATTGCTAATTTTAGTTAACAGCTCCAAGCCAGACAGATGAATATTTTTGCCTAGCAGGACAATCACTAAAATGTAAAAATGGGTCATTTGAACAGTATCCAATTGTACTGCTCTCATCTTTTAATTAAACCTTTGCTTTCTTTCTGCCTTATGTCAGCTGAGGAGGACAACCAAACATTCAAGGTGCTTTCTAATTACTATACCTAATTGCAAAAGGAAGCACACTATTAATGTGTTGATCAGAAATATAATTAAAAACACTATTTAGTGTTCAATAGAAAGACTTATTGAAGGCATAGATCCCGCTGGACATTTCAGTTTCAAAGTTAACTAGGCTAGATTTTCTGTCTCTAAGCTATACAGAATACAGATATTTAATGTCTATAAGCTATTTAGCTCTGTTCACATTATTAAAAGTATCCTCAGCATCTACCTTCTCTTTGTGCCTTTCCCTCTGATCTTTCTCTTCTCCACCATTCTTTTTATTTATTTATTTATTTATTTAATTTAATTTAATTTAATTTAATTTAATTTAATTTACTGTATTTTTTGCACCATAAGACGCACTTTTTCTCCACAAAACAGGGGGGTGGAAAGTCTGTGCATCTTATGGAGTGAAGAAAACAGATTATATTTTCCTGTTTTCTTCTCCTAAAAAATTGGTGCGTCTTATGGAAAGGTGCGTCTTATGGCGCGAAAAATATGGTATATCCCGCCTATCTAGTCAGCTCAGGACCACTCTAGGCGGCCTTTTCACTGGTCAGTCTGTCCCTCCACTGTAGTGCAAGTTCTGCCTTTTTCTTTGCTCACTCTCCTCCTCGCTTATGTAAGACAACACAGCCTTTTGTTTCTCTCTTTTTCAATCTCTGCCTCTTACCTGTTAAAAAGGTTGGGGACCTTGCAGAGGATAAAACAGCATGGAGTTCCCAAGTCTGCCTTCAGTTTTGCCTCTGCTTTTTAAAGGTTATTGAAATCTGGTGTATAGTTACTGAAAAAGCTGCTGCTTGCTGTAGGCAGATTTTAATTAACCACAGATATGGCAGAGTTATCCAGTGTGTTGTAGCGCTGGACTAGAACTCAGGAGGCCTGGGTTCAAATCCCTACTCAGGCAGTGAAGCTCACTGAGGATGGGTCTGTCAAACCACTCTTTAAATATATCACCTTGAAAGCCCTATTAGAGTTGCTATAAGTTGGTTCCAACTTACCCACATGGAACATAACATGGCAGATACAAGTAGACACATAATTTCTTTTATTATAATCAGATGGAAAGAAAAGTTAACATTGATATTTGATAAGGTAATGTTCCTTTTTTCAAGAGGAGTTATGATATTGCATTGGAAACCCTCTGTTGATCTGAATAGATATGATATGTGTATATAAAATCTAAATCTTGCTCTTTTATTCATTCAAAAAGGAGCATATCTCGTGTATAGCATGTTATATTTGTGTTTGCTTTGGAATAAAGCTTAAGCCGTACAACGATCAGGGCTTGGAAGTTATTGTTGGACTAGAACTCTCAAAAGCCCTGGGCTACTATGGCTATGCTGACTGGAGGATTCTGGGAGTTGCAGAACAAAATGTAACATTTACAGGTTCTGCTTACATATTGAATCTGAACAGGAGAGAATAAGCTGCAGTGAAAGGCGAAAGTCCAGAGTCACAATATGTTCTCACTTGTTTTATGAAACATTTTCTTCATGTCCCAACCTGTTGCAACTTTTCCTTTGTAAAATTGTTTTAACTATATTGTCGTTGTTTTATTGTTGTAAGCCGCCTAGAGTAATCTTAATTGATTAGATAGGCGGGATAGAAATAAAATACATAAATAAAATAAATAAATTATCACTCACATGATGGAAACACAAGGTCTCAGACTGAATTCATGCCATTAGCAGTTAAAAGAATCTTAAGTGGCAAGGCTGAAAATCTACATCTGGGATGCAGGCAGGATAAACAGTATTCGCCTACATGGACCCATGTTCTGACTTGGTCTAAGGTGGTTTCATGCGCCTCAGAAGAAGGAACTCATTGTAATGTCTCCTGTACACTTCTCCCTTCAACAACTCTGGGGTTAGGAATGCAGGACCCCCTAGTATTTCAAAATCCATGTATAATTCTATCCCAAAAAACATAACTACAAAGCATAAACAGTTGATACACACACACACACACACACAGAGAGAGAGAGAGAGAGAGAGAGAGAGAGAGAGAGAGAGAGAGAGAGAGAGAGAGAGAGAGAGAGAGAGAGAGAGAGAGAGAGAGAGAGAGAGAGAGGAAAATGTAGGCACGATTTCTCCTCCCCCACAACAGAGCAATAGACAGTGGTTTTGTGATCTCTTCAGCCAGTTCCTTTATTATTGGATGCAGTTCATTCAGCCCTGGGGATATGCACTCATTTAAAGTAGTAAGGTACTCCTAGCTCCTAGACTACTACTTGTTTCATCAATCTCAGGCTGTAATCCTATCCCCTCCCTTTGCACTTCATATTTGCCTTCATATGTATGGATGGATGTAGAGCTTTAGCAC